AATACCGTGTAGAACGGAAACATTTATGTTAAAATTCTCAGACATATATCAGTCTGAGAAATTGTAAAATTAATTTTCCATTGATTCGCTAACACAAGGTGTGTTTCTATTTCAACACTTCTATTTCACCAAATGTTGAAATAGAAACACACCTTGTGTTAGTGAATCAAAAAGATTAAGACAACACGGTTTCAGAAGATTTAAAATTAATTTTCCAGTAATTTTTCAATTAAGTTCATTACAGTTTAACAAAAATCAAGTGGTGAGATACGCAGTAAAAAACGAATTTAGAATATTTAGTACTCCAGCACTCCTTAAATTAAAACAAATATTTTTTATTTTATTTATGTCAGGTTACATATTTCTATATAATCTGAAAAAAGGCTTGTAAATAAAGCCGAAAACGTTCGTTTTATTTAAAATTGCTCGAATACTAACGGTTTTAATACTTAAAAGATTATATATAGTAAAATGTATATAATAAAACTATGTAAAACACGAAAAATGTTTTAAACGTTTGGAAACAAAACTTGAAATTCAGAAAATTCATTTGTTCCAATTGACTTTTCGTGCTGTTAAAACATAATACAGTAGGTTAAATCGACAGATGTACTGTACTTTCATATATGAAACTTAAGAAGTTTGATAATTTGATCTGAAGACAGAAGCGGATGAATTATTTCCGTTTGTCTATTCACGATATTTAGACGAATCTGTTATGCTTATAACAATTGAAGAGCGAACAATGAAATACGCACGAGAAATGATACGTGAAATATAAGAAACTTTATGATTAAGATTTGAGAAAGTTGGATTGTTAATAAAAATTTTAATTATTATATATTCATTCGTTTTAATAATGAAATTTATTTAAGATTATGATTAATCATATTTTAATTAAATATTTTCTGATTATCAAGTCTTGATTGATCCTAATATTCACATTGGAGTCAATACAAAAATTCAAATATGGACTAAATATTATCTATTTTTATATTAATACCTAAAATGGTGATAAATATATTCTTGATGTTAATCGAATTTGAATTATTTTATATTTAAGGATACAGTAGCGATGCTATTGCTTAAAGTTATATTTACTAAGAAAATTATGGTTATGGCACAATTGTAAATAAAAAGTCCAGGATATTAAATATAAATTGCTTAAAATTTATAAAAATAGTACAAAAATTCACAGAGGAGACTTTTTAACAAGTTCTGTGTATTGAAACTGATGAGAGCCTCAATATAAAGATCGACTCCATAGCCAGACTATTGTGTTCCTGAGGTATGAAAAAAGAAGAAGTTTGCAGACACTTTTTCTTTTTAAATTTATATTATTATTATTTCTTTTATTTTTACGAATTTTAATTATAGTTATCATCCTGGATGTATATCAACAATTGTAACTTATATGTTGACCGAAAAAAACTACATTGGAGGCCTAAATTGTTCGGCCTCTGCTTTATAAGCATACCGTGAGGGTTCTATCTACATTTTTTTCATTTTTTGTTTTCTCTTTAATCTATTATTTGGACAATCAGCTTTACGTTAACACGGAGAAAGAGAAAGAGTTTTGTCATTGTACGAGCAATAGAGGAGGAGTAGAGGCAAGATTTTGGCGTGGAAATTTGATTCTAATCTGCTAAAGTTAGCAAACTTCATATTTTTCTGCTGTAAAATTCTCTCTAACTTGTAAGTCAGATAGAACCTTCTGGTTCTTAACCTCACGATATGCAAATGATTCAATTTGAAAAAAATTTGCTGAATAAACTATACAAGCTATTTACTGTACAATATTCATCGATGTAAATAAAGTTAATTTATACCTACTTATATGAATAAATTAAACAAGATACAATGCAGTTTCATTATTGATATCTACGAATATAAATACTCGTATGGTTAGTTTATGTAATCTATAGCCTATGTTATGCGGAACCCGGGAATGTCGCTCATTTCGTAAAATAGGCAGAAATTTGCGTGATTTGTGGCATTGCCATTTTATATCTTTCAATAAGATACATTTGTTTCGCTCGTTGAATTATGGCTTATATATGCTATATGTTAAGCCGAATTCCCAGATTCGGTTTAATATATATAGACCTACTACATAATTCATCTAGATCCCTTTTCATCATCATCATTTTCTTAATATACATTATATCCTATTCATCTTATGTTGTATAATTATCATCTCATCTTATATACATATATATTTTTTCCATAACTGATTTAATATTTTCCAAATCTCATTGAAACTTATTATAATCGATTTCAATTACTACTTCTGTGTAACCTGCTATGATATGTAAATATTAATTAGGCTCAGTAATTAATTGCAATTACTAAAAATTATCTTTAATAATAATTAAAACATAAGCCGATCTTAATAAATAAAAGAAATGAAAATTATAATATTAACGATTGACAATTCCGTAGGATATCCTTATAAGTTGTTTAAGAAGTTGCCATGTTTTAAACAAAACGACTTAAAAATTTAATGCTTAATTGATAGACAATTATATATCCCATTTTTATTTAAAAAACGAATAAGATTATAGTAAAACCTTATTAAAATTCCAACGTCTTATAGAGTTAAAAGAACTTTGAGCTTTTCTCATTTTACTCCCTGTATCGCTTTCACTCTACATCAATATTGATTGTGACTTATATGAATAATATTTTAATTGCTTTTTTGCCTATTTATTTCTAAAAACAAATATAAGTAGCTAACTTAACTAATCGTAATATAAATTAAGTTATCTTCATTTATCTTTTCGTTCGTTCCGAGGGATAAAAAAAAGTAAGAAAATCTAGAATAAGATGAATCGTGTTTAAGTAGAACAACTTTAGAAAAATTCTGAGAAAGGCCACTACACTGTTGTAGTCACCTGCAGAAAGGTTTTATTGTGTGCTCGGCTGCATAGTGGGATGGTTAAATGGTTTGCTCGTGTTCCTACCCACTCTGTCAACACAGGAACGCCCCAATGTAACAAGCTTCACCGGCGGAAGCGACTCACACAGAAAAGATAATGAAGGTATTATTCTCCATATCTCAATTTCACACGACGATTCGATGAAAACACTATTTATAAATTTACACTTATACCCTTCTAATTTGTTCAACTGATATTAATCTGCATAATACTTTCGTTATCATGCTTCGAGCGATTAGAAATGTATATGTATCGTCGGTAAATGTTAATTATGTATTCACGTCATGAACTTTAAGGACTATTTTGCATAATAATTATTAATGTAACACTATCTTTTTAACATATATATATATATTCAAGTTTTTATTGTTTTGTTTTTTGTTGTATTAAAAGAATTATACATAAACTATTTTTCAAAAGAGGTAATATTTTTATTAGTCTGCAAGAACCATTAAGACCCAAATTTAATTGTTCGAATGTCACGTTTCCAGAGAAATACAATGCTTTGCTATTAAACTTTGCTTTTCGCTGCTTGTTACCGTATTTTGTGCGTGTAAATAAACGATACAGGGCAGACAGAATTCTTGTAAATATTTAAATAAAATGCGAATTTTGCAATTCATTTTCATTTTTTCTCTAATTCTCGCATTTTTCAATAAAATTCATTTGCTATTACATAATTAAAATGTAGTCCTAATATTGCTGTTGCTGTTTATCATATTGCAAACAAAGTTTTAATTAAACAGTCATCAAGAAAATCATTCAAAACTTATTTTATTATAATAACACTTGGAGACAACTGAGATATAAATACAGTATCTTCATATCAAATTTAGATTATAATTTGGGATTCTATAGATATTTTCATTTCCAGATAAGAGATTTGAGTTTTGAGTTTTATATTAAAACTTCGTCTACTATTTCTTCCTATCCGATGAATAAAAACACTTATCTACTTCCGAAAGGTGACAGCCATATAAACTATACTGTTTAAGATAATATAAATAAATTAAACAAATATTTCTTTTTGCACGATTTTACATATAAACATTTAAAATTCGATAGTTTATAATTTAAGCTTAAATTTTCGAGCTCTCGCTGTTATATAAGTGATAACACATTAGAATTAAAGGCAAACTCTATTTTAATTTTCTGTTTAGACCAATGTTTCTCAACGGGGGCGATATTGCCCCCATGTGGGCGTTTTTTCATGTTGAGGGGACGATTTGTAACAATTTATATTTTGGGGGACGAAAAACAATTTTCTGGGCGATATAGTAAAACATTATATTAAGATTAATTAAATATTTTATTCGTTATATCGTACAATAATTAAACAAATAACATTATACTAGTCACTAGTCTATTCAATGCAGTATGAATTTGGCGTTAGCCCTGGCCCGTGGCATCGGAATTTTGAAGTGAAGGGGGCGATACTATGTAACGGTTTTATTGAAGGGGGCGACAATTCGTTACAGGTTGAGAAACACTGGTTTAGACTATTCTGTAACTGTATGTACTGTACAGTACAATAATTTTCCGGAAAATTAGTAAATTCCCTTACAAGAAACAAATTATCTGTGATGAGTCAATGAACAAATAGAACTATCTAATTCAATTCGCAAGCTTAATCTTGAAATTCTATTGGTACAAGCGGACTTTGGACTGTGCCGTGTGTATCTCCTATCTTCCAACCGAGATAATTTGTTACTAAGGCTATGAATGACCAAGCGCTACTCAGATCAACATTTGACGAATAGTTTTGGAATTTCTATAAAGGAATTCAAGTGAATAATGTTCGTCTAAATTGATCATTTTAATTGAATATCGAATTCATTTTAAGCGTAAATTATATCGAATAAAAACGCATTATTTATGCCTTAAAATCAATTTTTAAAACGTTACATGACTAGAGATTTTCAGAAAGTACTGTACTTTCTGATATTCTATAATTAAAAATAAGGTAAATTAAATCTGTATAATTAAAATTTTACTTAAGATAATTTTTAATACCATTCCAATTAATTAATTAATATCTAATATTTTATGTTGAAATTTAAGCTGTCCAAAACGAAAGAGACAGAATAAGTTGTCGAAGACCAAGTTACGACGATGGTCAAAATAATGGCGGCTTAAATCTTCCAACACTCTTAAATGCTGAATTGTATTGCAGACAGGTAATAGATCAGCCATTGAATTCTTGTTTAATAATATATTAAAGTTCATTTTTTAGCTCTTCAGTTCAAATTTTAGTGCTTTTCCGTCCTTCTACGAAAATCTTATAACAAATTACATTATTTTTGCTAGAAAAAATAAGCAGCAATTTTAGTCTAACAAAGAAATGATAGAATATGATTACTTTGACAGAAAGATTAAAATCGATATAGATAAACTCGCAAATAAATAAATAAATAAGGAGAAATATATAACTTTAGGTAGTCGTATATTATTTTAAATTGAAAACGACTTTTAAAATATTTTAGATTCCTCTCATAGCGCGACTGGGTTTCATATTTACGAGGCCTCAAAGCATTTGTTACAAATTATTCAAGAACTTTTATTATTCTTTTTAATGAAATTTTTATAAATTAAAAAATATACTATAATACAAGTTTTTAGTATTTTTGGTTTTATTTTTTTTGTATTTTAAATTTTTTAATAGTATTTTTTTAAATGTAGTGGAGGCTTCAACAAGGTAAGTGGCTTCAACTTCTCTCGATATCTCAAAGATTATGAATCATACCAAAGAAATGTAGTTTAGAAATTCAATAATTTTCATTGAAAAGTTATTAAATTAGCCAATTTAAAATTTTGAATACAGATTAAAAATTTAACAGTTGTTAAAGAACACTTATGATTCTATATTCATACACGATTCAAATTGTATAAGCTGACATTAATCATAAGCAAGAAAATCACAATATAAAACTGAAAAGCACTAAAATATTGATATTAGATATGTTTTTCTTAAAGGTAGTTTACCATTTTCCCCAGAATTAAAAAAAAAATGTAATCACAGATCAGTTATAGTTATATTCATATCTTTATAATATATAATTATCAAATTATTATTTAAAAAGTATTTTTTTCATGCGATATTTTCAACAAAAACTGAACATTCTTTTATTACAGAGAACTGGGGAAATGGTAACGCCCTTTCCAACACAGGTAATTATAACGATATAAAATTAATGTTAATTTGTTTTTTATTTATAGTACTTAATTATATTTTAATTGCATAGATGGGTTCTCCTATGGTTGAGGCTAGCATAGCTAACAAGAAAGTTGCCAATATTAGTGATGTGTGCGAATCTATGAAACAACAATTACTAATTTTAGTCGAATGGGCTAAATACATTCCATCCTTTTGCGAATTACCATTAGACGACCAAGTGAGTGAATGGTAGCTCTTGAAATATTGGATGATTATACCTTACTTATTGATATGATTACTTTTCAGGTAGCGTTACTACGTGCCCACGCTGGTGAACATCTCTTATTAGGTTTGGCACGCCGTTCTATGCATTTAAAAGATGTTTTGCTATTAGGAAACGATTTCATCATTCCAAGACACTCCACAGAAGTAGAAATAAGCAGGATTGGTTCCAGGATAATGGATGAATTGGTGACAACTTTAAGAGAAGTGCACGTCGATGATACAGAATTCGCTTGTTTAAAAGCCATTGTATTTTTCGATCCTTGTAAGTATGCAATAGTTCTAAAGTAAAGCGTAATTTGGTAAATTTTCCAAAAATGAATTATATATATATTTGTTTTTTAGATGCAAAAGGTTTAAGTGACCCTCACAAAATTAAAACTTTACGCTATCAAGTGCAAACGAATTTAGAAGATTACATCAATGATAGACAATATGATTCCAGAGGACGTTTCGGAGAGATTTTATTGACTCTTCCAGCTTTGCAAAGTATTACATGGCAAATGATCGAACAAATACAGTTTGCAAAATTATTCGGCATGGCCAAAATAGATAACTTGCTGCAGGAAATGCTTTTAGGAGGTAACGTATTATTTTTAATATAATATTTTTTCAACTATCAACGCGGTTTTTAATCACTTTTTTTAGTATTAATTTTAACAAATTCGGTTTAAATATTTTCGTTACTATGGGCATTTTAATGGCAAACATTTATGAATACCGCATGCCAACAATTATTTCCATTTCTAGCTCCATAAAAATTTATTTTGTCGAAGAGAATATAGATATTAAAGTGACAAAAATCAGAAAAGATGGAATGCATCTATAATTACTAATAGAAGAATATTTCAGTGCTTACAAGATTTATAAAATTTTGTATTTTATAACTACTGTATATCATATCGAGCTAATAATTGTTAGTGTCAATAAGATTTTTCAATCTATATATTTAATTATTTAAATATAATTTTAGCATTTTAAATAGAAATTAATTAATCATATAAATTTATTAGAAACTAACTCATGCATAATATCAAAAAAGTATCCTTTCCGAAATAATTTTACAGTTTTTTCCTTTCAAGATTACAATATTTTTTAATGATTAAAATGATTTATATTTAATTTTTCTTTAAATAGGAAACTACTTTCTAATGGAAATTATCTAAATAAATAAATAAGTTATTCAAATAAATCAAAGAATAGGGGATTTTATTCTTACACTGTTACATTATATGCTTTAATAAGCTATGATTTATGTTTTAATGAGAATTGATGCCATTCGATTTTAAATATATTTAGTTGGCATAGTAATCTTCCAATTTTCTATGTAGCAAATGTTTTTAAGTGTTTAGAAATTTAGTTAATTTAATCGGTAGATAGAATAGAATCATTATTGCTAAGATATTAAAATTTAAAATAGGCATATTTTAAATTTTATATTAGTAAGGTCTAAGTACGTTGGTGGTATTCATAAATGTTTGTTTCGTTACTACCTAAAGTACTCTTCCTGTTAAATTACTCAAACCGGAAAAAGAAAAACGAGCTTTGATCGTTTTCCAACGATTGTTGATAATTTATGATCCTACAACAAGAAAAGAGCTTCATCATTTTTTATTTACTGTATTTTCTCGATTTATTCTATTCTCGGCAATGTAATTTCTATTTCAAAATTCTGATTTACGTAAAAATAAATTTATTAAGTCAAAACAGTTTCGAGACAACTTCTGTTTAGGATATAAATTTAAGTTTGAATGCTTTGTATATTAAAAAAATAATAATAAAAAGTTATTTCTAATTTAAATCAGCACAGAATTCTCAGTATAAGCCGCAATAAATAATCGAGATGATATATTTTCTCGGTGACCACTTTTCACAGTGGGATCATAATTTAAGCTCGTATAAAAAAAGAAAAAGACGGAGAAGCCCCTCTAAAATACATAAATGTTTATAAAACTCGTGCTATTTCCTGACCAACCAAACGTGGTTCCACCCCCGCTACAGCTTCCTTTCCGATGACCGTATCCGCAGGCGCACCACCCGAGACCGGTTCGCAGATGCCACCACCGACGGGACCTCCGGCCACCCACACCTCCCTTCACCACGCCGTCCTTCACAATCCATCGGTGGACCACATGTCCAATGGACACGGAAGCCATCATCATCCGGATCCCGTAGCAAACGGACACCCAGAAACGCCAATACCATCACCGACGGACTCTTACATCCAACCTCTTCCTCCTCACATGAAGAGGGAAGTCGTAGAGCAAGATCCCTATTGACTCATCACATACCTGCTAGAGCATGGACTTAAAGTTTAGATTTAAAATAGTTTTTACACATTTTTCTCCTTTCGAAATTGAAAGGATCTTGAAAAAAGCTATCATCTTATATATATATATATATATATATAAAGTGGAGAGAGTAAATTGCTCCCTTTTCGTGTGTTTATTTACATTATTGTTGATCTCTTGAAACGTCACAATGCAAGAGAAACGATGTGCCTTCGTCATTATTTTTTTTTTATAAAAAAAAGCACATGATATCAATTATTGTGTATAATAACAGTGTTTTAAGAAAGAAAAAAGGCTCAAAAGTATATATATATATGTAAAAGGAAGAAAAAGTTGAAACCATCGAATTTATTCATGACTGTATTCATCTTCGTGTAACTTCATTCATCGACATTATTATATCTTTTTTTTTTTTTTTAATTTAGACGTTTTAAATAAATATTCATTACTTAATCTTCATCAAAACTTGAACAATTTAAATAGTTATACGTAGAAGACGTCGCTTTAATAATGATTTTTAAGGATTACTGTATTTCTACCGCTAAAACTGCATATAGCTTTTTAAGTGTGGAGATAATTTTTCGATGTAAATATTATTATTAAATATATGCAAATGATTGTTTTGATTCCTTGTTGAGGTTTAGATAAAATTTTAGGCATATTTTTTTCTTTCGGTTTCGTTAATTAGTGTTTGTTGCTAGTTAACGAAACCGCTAGCGCCATCTAGTCCAAAATTTTAGAACTATTCTATTTATTTAATTTTTTGCTAAAAGACAAAAATGTTTTTCGTTTTAAAATGTTATAATGATTGCAACTCCAGCTGTATTTTTTATAATCGATAAGCTATAGAATTCGCTATGTTTATTTTTAAATCTACAACTAAAAGTTTTCGTACTGTTCATGAAATAAATAATTACAATTTATAATTTTGTTTTAAAATTCATTTACTTTCGGCTCCTGTCAAGCAAATATTAGAATAAACGCGTCTAAAACGTGTAATGATTCTACTTTAATATTTTAGACAATCACAAACAATTGTGAGTTCCGGCATTCTTATATAACGTAGGCTATTAGTCAAATACACTACGTTCTGTTGCACACTAACATTAAATATCCCTTTGATAATTCAAATAAAATAATTTAAAGAATGTGCAATAGGGAATTCAGGCTAACCTATTCTCCAGTTAGCAATGCCAACAGTGTGTCACGTGATACGAATTCTGTGAATAGCCTTATTGTAACACGTGACATTCGCATTGCTAATGGCATAACTCGTCCAGACATTCGTTATGAGAATTTTCATTTAAATAAAAATATATTAAAACCGTATTTATACCTACGTGACGACTTGTTTCATTTTCAAACAGATTTATTATTTTTATTTTCCATTAATTCGTGGTGGTATACGTAACATTCTCCACGCATTTCATTTGTTTAAGAAAAAGGCAAAAGGGTTTTCAGCAGTTTCTTCTGGGGAATAAAATTACTTAATATGATGTAGTATCGAATCAACTGTTTGTAGTATTGCAATATTTGTTTCTAAACAGAAATTTTTCTTAATTACTGCCCTAAATTAGGTATAAATGAGTGAGAAGTAACGCAAAATGAAGTAGGCAACTTGCTTATTTCATTAATACGTACAAAATTATTATCTTAGCCTTAATAAATAGTTGTTAAATATAGTTGTTTACAAAATTAAAAGTTTGAATGCATCCCATGTAAATAATATAACAGTTAGGCCTATACCAAAAAATTGATCTAATACTGTATCTATCAGTCTTTGTGATTGTTGATAATTTTTATTTTTATTATATTTTCTACTACTTTATTACTGTACTTCTACAATATTTACTTGTTTTTATTCTATATTTTTTATATGACTATATTGAAAGAATTTAGAAATTCATGGTTCTGTATTTATATATAACAATTTATTTTTCTATAGATTCTACTCTTTTCGGTAATTTAAGACCAATTGTCTATGTTAAAATTAAATACTGTATATCAAAGTTATAAGGAGTTGAACTATTAGAGTTACGATTTGGCTGTTGTTTGTGCAGGTGTGAGTGCATGCCACATCTTTTGTAAAATTGCAATTTCTGTATAAACAATAGCGTTTAAAGCGTAAAGAAAACAACAGGATTAGCCTACAATTTATCAAGATTTGTACAGTACATTTCGTATTGCGTTATATTTATAATTTGCATAATTTTTAAGTAATCATATATTATTTTTAATGTTTATGGAAATTGATTTCACATTAATGCAATGAATACACAAAGTACAATGTTGGTTAGGGGAATTTCAATATTAACCTTTTGCGATAATCAGAATAATTCATCACTAACGCATTTTTCTAAACTTGAACACGTAGGACATTGTGCAGAGTATTCAATAAAGCTGTATTCTTATGACATTTTAGGATATATAATTGGAAAGTATCGATAAAGTTATGACATTTTACAGTTCTTAAGTTACATATAAAGTTGTTGTGTGATTATGTAATGTATTCAGTTAATTTTTCTAAGGTTTTTTCTACTTTATATTTGATGAATAAATGAGCGATACCCAGAATTTTTGTATCAAAATATCAATTTTTTACCAGATATGTAAAATATTACATAGATCTTATCAATTGTATTAGTAAATGTTTTTGTATACATCCCAACTATTTGGCAGTAATCAAATTGAGAAAAAAAAAGTGTAAATAGTTGCCAATTTGTTTAATTAACAATAAAAAGAAACAATTTGTAACAAATGAACAAAATTTTAATACAAATTATATATAAAAATTTGTTTATCTTTCGAATACTTTTGGATGAAGAGCTGAAGTTATTGCAATTTATTTCATTAAAATAAAACGAAAACTATTTTGTGAAGTATCATATATATTTTGACAAACTAGATATAAAACTAAAATATTTAAGATTTATGCTAAAATAAAATATATTGAAACTGTTATCATTTCTTTTGTGTAGTGAATATAGTAACAAAGTTTATAAAAGTTTATTATCGAGCATTAAACATTTGTATTGTTATCCTCAATAGGTTAAAGATAAAGACTTTTGCAAATTGACTGATTAAAAATAGAACTTAAAAAAAAAACTGTTAGTATCCGAGGCGGTTGGCTTTATGCTCTGGAGTCCCGGGTTCGAATCCGGGAGAGCAATTCTCCAATACTTTCAATGGGATATCTGTCCCAGATATATGGAATCCCATCCTCTCACCACCAAACCGTCCTCATTAGGGGCCTGGCCAAACACGATGGGTACGATTAGAAAGACCTACCTAGTCGCTCGAAGCGGAAAGAGACGAAAAAAATACACTCGTATATTTAAGGTATTGTACTCTATTTTTCTGAATGAGCCAGACTAATTGATTAGCTATTGAAGTATCTAGCTAGATCGCACACTTTTTAGTTGGACTAACTCTTCTGAAATGGTGAAATTGAAATTCAGATGCTGTCGAATATATGTAGATGTAGAATTTATCGCCTCCTTTATCCTCTTATTAAGTATTGGTTAAAAATTAATTTTTTAATACAAATAAATATTAATGTAAGTTAAATATTAAAAATACTAACTATAAAAGTATTTGGGTAAATCCCCCATGCTCCTTTCAGAGTTCTGAGCGTACCCCCTACGAGCGCCTCTGCCCCCCATAAAATGACTTGGTACAGTATTTAATTTTGCCGGAGACGGAGTCGAGTGTTTTTTTTTTTACCGACTCCGCAGTTCTGATTCTAATTTTCGAAAAACAATTTCATATAACCAGGCTCTATCATAGGACTTGAACCTCAGTTTACAGAAGTCTCAAAAACATTTATTACAAATTCATTCCTTGTGTATTAAGGAAATATCTATGTTTTCCATCATAGGCCCTAATCATAGCTGTTATATTTTATTAATAAATATTACCGTTAAAGAGGTAAATTATTTATAAATTAAGAATCTTTTCTTATCAAATTATCAAAAATAATCTTTAAAAATAAGCTCACCATGAATTAAAATTATTTTCTGATGATAAATATCGTTAAGAGTATATTTTTAGGCCTATTTAATTTTAACTATAGGCTACATAGTAACAAATTATATGGATAGAATCGTCATTATCCTTTGTTAAAATGCTGTAAGAAAATTAAGATATTAATTATTAAGAAAGAAATTAGTAAAATTCTTTAAAATCTTATTACAAATTTCCTCGTTACTTTTTCCTAAATAAATTACATAATACGCAAAATCGCAAAGATTTCACAATTTTCGAAGATATATGATACGATAAACTAGTGAATTATGGAAGCCTAAAATGCTATGGACCATTCTGTCATAAGTAAATAAGTATTATCTTGTTACCTAGACGACAAGATAAGGAGAAATACATATAAAATCTCCGATATGACGTTAATCTCCGATTCAGATATATCTACTTCCTAACATCATATACGAACTGTAACGACTGAGACGATATCATAACGTATATGCAAAAATTTACGTAAAAACGATATCTTGATTGATTAGTTTAATTAAACATTTCTATGAATCTAATAGAATTAATTTAGCCTATATACAGTATATATTTGATCTGTTAGAATTGTAACGATTACAACTACATTATACCTATATAAAGTAAACTATGAATTAGCAATTTAATCCAATCTTTTGATTAAAAAAAATGCTTAATAATTGATTTTATGATTATCTTATCTAATAAATTGCTCTGGTATTCTATGTTAAGTATACTCTTAAACGGAAGTTCCAGTAGGCTCCTTTGGATCAATACATGGCCTTACATTTATGTGAGCCTCTCACAGTCTGACTGGACAAGATGCTGCTTTATATGAAGAAAAAGTTTCATTATGTCAAGGTGTCGATGCATACAAGGCAGCATCTTCGATCAAGACTTGTAGTCTAAAGTGGCATTATAAACTATTTGGTTTTGACGACAAACTACTACACTCTTTCACAAATGAAAGCTTACAAATCTTTAGAGGCCCATAACTATCTTACTAGTGGCTGGATTTCTCGTGACTTATGTGCGTGCTCTTTCATAACGCTTTTGATATGCAGTTAGGTTGTAGCTACTCTTATACTCGAAGTATAATGTTGGCTGGCACCCAGCTGCTGATGACTAATAAAATGAAGAAGGTTTTCCTTTGGGGTAAATAACTTTTTCAATAATATATTATTATTAAAAATAAGTTATTATAATGGTAAGTTATTATAATGGTATAAATAAGAATATGTCAGGAGCAACTTGAAGGTTATTATGTAATGATTAATTGTTACTAATGTAAAAAAAAATCATTGTAAAAAGTAACATCATAAAGAAATGTTAATGATACTAACCAAAATAACCTAACTTAGCTATTTATAAATGAACAACGGAAATAATTGGTTTATATCTTTAAAAATACACACAGCTTTATTTATGTAAATTAGACTGGAAAGAGGATTGATTCAAAATTCATTTCTAATTCTTCATTTGCTAAACGATTATCTTTACTTAACACTTTACTATTAACTCTACTGCATATTTATTACAAGCAGACACTAAGAAAACTAACTGAAAGATGAAAAATAAAGAACACAATCATTATCTATTCAAAATAAAATCTGCATTGTTAAAATATTTAACTTTATTTTGTCGGTATTTACAGAGGGATTTATGCAACCGGTTTGTACTGTACGCACTTTTTGGTACTCATGTAAAAGTTTATCTAATTATTTATTGATAACTAGTAATCAAACGTTATTGCTTACCTGAAATAAAATGGTTCTGAAAAACTCTTGTACAGTAGAGCCTCAAAAACTCGGCACTCGATAACTCGGCCATATCTTGGCAGGGCAAAAAAATCCTTAGTTAATTAATTTTCATTATAGACAGCTTTATAAAAGTATAAAAGCTCTCGTAAAGTATTTTTCTGAGGTCTGTACTGTACACAGTGTATTCATTAATTTTCATTTTCATGTAGTAAAGGCTCTATGCCTTCATAAAGGACCTACTTTTCCTTTGTTTAAGGGTATTTGGGCAGTTTATTCTCTGTTGTATTCTCAAGCAAACAATACATACAAGTACAATACAATATTTTCTGAGGAAACACGCATACTTATCCTTTTTTAACCCCATTCCCGATAACCCGGCATTTTCACAAACTCGGCCACCCTTCGGTCCACATTAGGCCGAGTTTTCGAGGCTCTACTTGTACTGATATTCACTCTATCCGTGTTGAAATTTTTCCGGTTAATTCTGGAGAGCCGTGCCAATTGCCTTCGTCATGAAAGCTCCTCGGTTTGGGGTCCTTGATGGCAAATAATGCCGGAAATTTTAAAAAATGACGTTCCTTTGTTCTCGAGTGAACTAACATTACACCCAATTACACAACAATTTACCATAGTGATATTAGCGACGAATAAACAACACAAGAACTCCAGCTAAAGCGCGCGTAAACACAAATAAAACGTAAACAACCACAAAGATGGCATCGAAAAATCGTCCATGATCGTAACGTAACTCGTGATGTCAACTTGAAACCTCTCTATATAATCCTTGAAAATTTTGACTTAACAATTCATTTTTATCCCAAATTGATATTTTAGTTAGTATTGTATTAATGATACATCTTTTTTTTAAACTCTTTCCGCCCTGTGGGTACTAAGTGGTCCTCTTTCATCAAGCCCATTATGGGTTCGGCCAGGCCCACAATGGGGCGGCCGGGTGAAGAGGGACGGGGCCGATATATCCGGTCAGACCACCCTCCCAAATATTCATGGGGATTTTTCGACCCCGGATTCCCTAGAGCGGTAGGCTGCTATCTTGACCGCTCGGACATCCGGCCTTGGTACAGTATATCTAGTAACAGTGAGAAACATGGGCATCTGCAGGAAATTTACCAGCGGAGACAAAGCTTGGAAACAAATAATTACATCAATATATTTTTATTTAATTTTTTGAGGTTTTTTCACACGTAGACTACAGTGGCATGCCGTGACATTTGATGATAGGGAAGCTGTGTTTCTGTAAGAAGCCGACTTCCTGGGGCAATCAGTTAATTGCGCGTCAGTGATGGTCTAGGGTCCGTCCATTCGTATCGTTTGTTCAAGAAGCCAATAAAAACTGTAGACCTCTCTAAATATATTTTTAATATCACAATTACATACTGAATCGCTAGACATGATATAAGGGCTAATATTACGAACAAATCAGTCCGGTAAGTAAAATTCCGGCTCTTTCATCAGGGTTTTATTTATATCCCCAATTCCCTAATCGTAGTAGCGTAGCGTAGGGGTAGGCGGTAAAATTACGTTTTAGGGGCGGAAAAATTTGACAATAAATAATAATAATATCTTGTAAGAATTTGAACCATTTTATTTCATATTTTCGTCCACGTACGACCGATTGAAATGAGCACGGAATAGTGTTACCATCCGACTCGCCGTCCGGGGATATCGTGCGTAACCTGTCGACTTTTTTTTTTTTTTGTTTGCTTGTACGATTCATTCGTACTCATATACACCTCCAATATCCAATAGGGCTAAGTCATCTAGATTACTTGTGTTGCTCCTACCCAAGTCTCCCTAGTCGCTAACTGTAACTGATTTAGAACCAGCATGCACTGCAAATTATTCATTGCAAAATGATATACGCATGCGTCAGGAACTTCTGTTCGAACAAACCTCACCTGCCGTCAGGATCGGCGATTTTAAAAAGGTGGCAACACTAGCACGGAATTTTTCATTACCTATTCTGTGACGAAACTGAATTTTAGTCTTTTAAATTGAGATACCTAAATAAGGGGGCGGCAAAATTTTCCTCCGCCCCGGGCGGCTGACACCCACGCTACGCCACTGCCTAATCGCTTAATTATTTAACTACTACTTAAGTAGAAATAAGTTGAAACCGGTTACTTTGTACTCTTTTTATAATATATTTTATAATATATTATATATTTGTACTATAAAATATTTGTAGTCTTTGGAAAAAAGTGGAAAGACAAATTTTTATGACAACGGATACATAAATCGAAAATTTAAGAATAATAAATTCTAGAGCTTTTTATGTACCTCGTGCATCACCCACATTCATTAAATTTAGTTGTAAATGATGCTACCAAAGTAACAGTTAATTTTTTAACATTGTACAAGAATTGTACACGTTTTTTTCTGCATCCCCTTAAAGATGGGACATACGAAATCGTAATATCACGGGTTTAACATTGAAATCCGTAAGTAATATAAAATCGGAGAGCGGAATAAAAATATCAAATATTTGAATGGAGTTTTTAAAACTCCTGTCAACTATACAGAACTATCATAAAAGCATACCAATAAATTCTTATCGATTGGGTTAAGTTATAAATCTACTCATGATTCACATAATCGAGCGAGGGCGGCCAACTATCTAGCAGGCAGGCGGCTAACAGCCCAAAACCGGTCCTGGATAGAATTGGAAGCGTTACGTGTGTAGCTTCCACCAGCTAAACCTGGTGAGGTTGGTGCTCTGTAAAGCGCATGCGCGAATCTGGCTATTTGGAAGCTGACAATACAGTCGACCCCCTATAACACGGGTTCCTATAGTTCGGATTCCTATATCACGGCGAAAAAATTGCGATAGTATTCGTACAAACATGCTAAAAAACTCCTATAATTCGGTAAAACGTCATCGCCGACTCGTGTTGCGACAGGATTGCACAAACCGTTGAGTTTAAACGAGCAGCGGACTTACCAAAAACCATTTATTATTTAACGTCCATAAAAATTATATTTATATTAATGATGTCTCTAAAGTTCAGCGAATTTTTCGCAAAAAAAATTAATTTATCAGGAAGCACGCGAGCGTCATTCGATGACAATCTCCACGACGAAAACAAGCTTAAGCAACGGCGTAGTCGAACGGTGCATACTCGGTAAGTAATCCTACAATTTTTTGTTTATAGCATAGTTTATATGGATTATTCTCAAAAAATTATACGTATTTTGGAAATGTTAAGTCGAATTAGTCTAGAATCGATTAATTTTATGGAAGAAACCTTTCAAACAGCCGTAGTCCGTAAACTGCATACGTGCCGGGCTGTGATTGGCTGGACTCCTAGAAGCTGGATTTATAAAAACAGGAACGTATCTACCGTGTTATGGTGGGGTCGACAGAGCGGCCAGATGGCCGAGCGGTCAAGATGGCAGCCTACCGCTCTGGGGGACCCGGGTTCGAATCCGAATGGTTCGAAAAATCCCCAGGCATTTTTCGGGGGGGTGGTCCGTTCGGATATGTCGGACCCCGTCCCTCACCACCCGGCAACCCCATTGTGGGCCTGGCCGAACCCATAATGGGCTTGCAAAAAGAGGCCCTCTTAGTGCCCACAGGGCGGAGAGTTAAAATAAAAGGGGGGTCGACTGTACAGCGCATCCACTCCGCCAGTAATATTCGAATATACAATAGCAATCTTACACATGTAGTATAGAAATTTGTAATAAGATACATAATGCGGTTATAATAAAATATTGTGAGATTATTTTCATATAATTAAAATTAATTTGTAGGGGAAGGTGGGGCAGGATGAGGACGTTAAGGTTTGAAAAGTCATAAGATGGCAACCACTTTAATGAGAACAATAATTTTTTATTCTCAGCAATTACAACATTTGGTAATATATAATACAAAATTTAATTTTTGAAAAACGTTTTTAAAAACAAGAAAATTTAATATTTTAAAATTATATGTAAATGCACCATCTTGCCCCATCCGTGGGGTAAGATGGGAACATTATTTTTATGTACAAGAAAAACAAATTAAAATGGTTAAACTGTCGTTTTCTTCGATATTGGCACAAGAACAATGTGCCCATTTATCACAGCGGCTACATTTATTATTTTCCGAATAAATAAATATAAAAGTTTTAACTTACTCGTATTTACTTTACCAGACGACACTGTCACTTCGCGCATGCTCACTTTCGCTATTTTGTACGCAGACGATATTTTTTTTTTTTTTTTTCGTGGAAAAAAATTTTTATTTCGATTGTTATCTTACATTGTTTTATTTCTTACGATTGTTTATTTCTTATTGTTTACGATTGTTTATTTCTTATTGTTTACGATTGTTTATTTCTTGTTAAGATAGTATTTAAATTTAAAAAATGTTTTCACAAATAAAATAAAACGTAAAAACATCTATACTAATATTATAAAGAGGTAATGTTTGTATGTAAGTTTGGATGCAGCAGGTAATCTCCAAAACTACTCATCCGATTTCAAAAATTTTTTCACCAATATTTAGAATGGAACTTCAGGGTGGACATAGGCTGTATATTATTCCGTTAAACATGGGGGACGGACAGTTCTTTACGGTAAGCCTTACGGGAAAGGCTTACCGTAAAGAACTCTGCTTCTATTTATACTATTTTAGATGCGGTTTTTTGCATTTTTGATTGCATTTTAATAGGGCACGTCAACAGAATGTACACTAAGAAGGGATTTTTCGATATTCCCCCGGGGGAGAGGGACAGAATTAAGGCTTACTGTGAAGAACTTCACTTCTATTATACTATTTTAGATGCGGTTTTTTGCGTTTTTCATTGCATTTTAATAGGGTACGTCAACAGAATGTATACTAAGAAAGGATTTTTCGATATCCCCCCGCGGGGGAGAGGGACAAGATTAAGGCTTACTGTGAAAAACTTGGCTTCTATTATACTATTTTAGATGCGGTTTTTTGCGTTTTTTGATTGCATTTTAATAGGGTACGTCAAGAGAATGTACACTAAGAAAAAATTTTTCGAAAAATTTTCCCCCACGGGGGAAGTGTTATACATTTATAATAGATACATTTTGAGCCACAACAAGGTGTGGCGGGGTCTGCTAGTAAATAATAAAGTAATACAGTATATACTGTACTGTATAAATTTATTACAGTTAGATATGATTTAAAAGTGGAATATTTCATTTTCTATAAAAAGATCATTTTTAAACTTATTATTTTATATATTCGAAAAAATGATATAGAATTATCAATGACAACGAATTTAAAACTAGTTCACTGCATTATATTGCAGTGCCTCTAGCCAGCAGAGTTGGCCAATTCATGGCCAACCTTGGGCAAGATGGGGTAGCCCATCTTGCATTTTTCATACTGACTGCAAACACGGGTCAACTTTATTTCAAAACTAAACAATTCCAGTCTTAAAGGTTACTTCAAATACCATAATATCTTCATCTAAAAGATAATGTAAAAGTTTACAATTATGCTTACTTTGTAGAAACTTTGCAGCGGGCGTAAAATTAAATGAAGTATTGCTGAAATATGGAAAACGTTTTTACTTCCAAACGAAGAGAGCGATTCGGACGTTCTCTCGTCCCATGATTCCTTTTGAGGTTGATATTTAGTTCCCTAAATAACAGCTAGATGAAAGCGCGTTAACCACGAATAAACAGACGTCCCCGTCTTACCCATGGCCCCATCTTGCATCACCTTCCCCTATTTATTTTTTAGAAAATACAAGGGAAGCGGCGCTTCCACCGCTTCCAATGACGGCACGCCACTGGTAGACTATAAAATACAGTATTACATTAAAATGTCCCAAGTTCGAGGATTAAGTAAGGTTACATATTTCATCAATTTTTACCATTGTAATTTGGGAAATAGTTCACTCGATTCCAGTAAGGGGAAAGTGCTCCATTTGCCTCTGCCAGATCTGCAGACATCAATGATAAGAAATATTGAGTACAATTAAGTATGATGCTTGGAATTTATAACGAACTAATGAGTTGTGCTCTCTCTCCAAGCAACTGATTCAAACACTATTGTTTATTGGATCTGTATGCGAAAATAACATAAAATGAGCTACACATGGAAATAGTATCTACGGGACTGTCCGTAAATGACTTCCTCACTAAAGGGGAAGAAGGGGTTGATCTTCAGTGGACGTCCAGTTTATTTCATTAAATTATACACAGTTTATGCATTTTATTACATTTATTTCACAAATTCTTGTATGCTTAATTTCTACTTTATCTGTCATTCGTAAAGTGATAAAGGTTTTAAAGGGAGTCGAGTTTTGTTGGACGTCCGAAGAGAGAAGGGGTTACGGAAACATGGACAAACTGGGACAAGAGGGGAAGGGGAGTAAAAATTTCAAGAAAAATGTGGACGTAATTTATGGACAACCCCTAACTGCCAAAAATTCTCTCTCTCTCTCTGTGATCCTCCCGATAAACGACACGTCCTGCACACTAAATACATATCTTCTAATGTCGCTACTTTAATTCTTATTGAAAATGTAAAATTTGATGTATAGATCCAATAAACTAATAATCTAGATTTATGATTAGTGTGGTTTCGATTCTAATACATGATGTCTTTGGAATCTAAAAAAAGATCTTCGCGTAAGATCTGTTCAAAATCGTTTTCTACACCAGGAAGGTTGAATTGCTAATTGTCATTCCCTTCCTCTAAATTACAACTTATATTAAGCTTAATAAACATCCTTTAATTATAGAAGGAAACACCAGTAACTTATGAGATCAATTAAACGAAAACATCAATCGAAACTCTCTAAGTTGAGATCGAACGACTCAAATCAAAGAAGTACGTGTATGAACTGAAATCATCATTAGCAATTAGGCCTGGTTCAAGTGTCAGCGCAACATCAATTGCATTTCAAGATTTTACTAAACCCTCATGAAAATGCCAACTTCAGTATTTCTCGGTTTTTCTAAATTTCATCAGTCTTCAAGAACATGTTATAGAACGAAGAAGGTAACAAATGATACAGACCACCCCATATCAAGACCCTTATATCTCTTCTAACTTCAAACACGAATGCTGAAACAGAAATGATGTTTGCAAATAATGTGAGCCTAACCACTGACACATTCAATCTGAATTTAAGGTCTTAAGTCCTTACGTACGTCTATAATAGAATTTATTAATTTGTGTAGAAGGGTTTGGCTATTGAGTACTGGGTAGCTGGTCAGCCTGTAAGTCTGCATACATACAGTATATTCAATATTAAACTATCGACAGGACAGTATGCAGTTTTGCAGTAATCGGACATTCGGGTGCGTAAATTTTTGTTAGTGAGTGTTAATTTATCAGAAGAATGGCTATGATAAAATAATCATCCCTCACCACGTGGGATCCGAATTCGAATATAATCTGAACCCTCAATAATTTGCATTCCTCCTTCAAACTGATCGACCATCGCAAGTGTTGCCTACCGATGATGGTAATGTTCATAATGTGCTTGTACTGTACCTTGCAAACAAAAATGAAAATAAAATAAAATTGGTATATTATAAAATCAATGGTGTTTTCTGCATTGCGTCGTCCTGCTGTAATTCTTACTGATTTTACATTTTTATTATTTAATTCGGAAGACCATAAAGAAATTCAATTGAAATGAATTTTTTTAACATTTAACGAATCATATAAAATTTTTTTTTTGAAAATTTCAAGTTGTTTGTTTAACTGCAGTGTTCATTCTAAGAGAATTATTCTTATTTTTAAATATCGTTATATTTATTTGATAAATAAACTGAATAATCAATTTCTTCATTCCATTGGTGCGCCAAAAACGAAAAATTCTTATTTATAAATAGTCCATCGTTTCTTAATTTCGTTTTATTGAATGATTATTTAAGTCGATTCATTTGAATCCTGGCTACTTCTTTACAATATGACGGAAGTTTTACATACACAGAAGCATGATTTTCGGGTTGTTTTTTTATTTCGACAATGCCATTTTCTACGCAGAAACTATCCAATGGGATTTCAATTTTCTCTATTGTATAATCATCGTTTGTTGATTGATTATTCAGTATCGAATTATTTGTCCTTTCTTGTACTGAACTGCCAAGATCGATCTGACCGAAACTTTCTTTGAAATTAGAAACCATTTCTTTCGATTTTTTCTCTACTTTGCCTACGTTTACAAAGTTTTCTATCTTTTCGACGATATTTTCGAAAGTGTTTTTGACTCTTAATGGATTCAAATCTGATAAATGATGTAGTTTTTCAATTTTAGATATTTGTTTATTTGTACAATGAGAAATGAATCGATCATCCATATATTGTCTGAAATCATCTCTTAGGATACTATCTTTTAACTCAAAATATATATTACGATTTGTATCCGATTTATTTGGATTTAAACTAGATTCTTCAGTCAATTTACTTTCTTTTTCATTGTGAAAACATTCTATTTCGTATTTTTGAGTACGAAGTAAATTAATTAAAATATCCTTTACGGTCTGATCCAACCGCTGGCGAATCAATTCGTTATTTTCCATGAACGAAAACATTTTATTTATACTGTCGTGTTCATCTTTCTTACATCCTTTAAACACTTCTGTTTTGATATTAACTAAATATTCTTGTAATTGCCTCTTCAGAAGTCTTAATTGATCATTTTCGAGTGTCTCTCGAGGATTTTCATTCTGCAAGATTAAAATTATTAATTCACGACGATATAAGGATGAAAATTAAAAAAAATAATAATAAATTTATTTACTACCGAAGTAACGAAATTTTCGGCAATTCTATTATCATCTCCTGAAATATTTTTCGATGCTTTTAACATTGAAGTTTTATCAGAGCTTTTTACTAAAGACTTCTGTTTTCCTTTCGTACATTTGCCACTAGCTTTAGTGAAAATATGAACATGTTCATCTATTGTTTGTTTATGGCAGGAAGTGTGATCCACGAATTCGTTTTTACACGATTTCTCCTCATTTAATGAACTTGAACCAAAAAAGCCATTTATTAAATCCGACTGAAAATTCATATTAGAATTAATTCTGTCTTTTTCTTTTTTCATTACACTCGACGTCTGAGGATATTTAGTCATTTGTGTTGAACAATTTGACCTGTTCATTCTGCCAAAGTCTGAATCATATATGATATTTTCTAGATGTTCAATGCTAGCTGTATATGTAATAGCTTCCCAATCTTTTTCATAGTTAACTGTTTTACCACTTCTGTTTTCATAAAAACTGTTCGAGTTCGCGCTACCCTGAGTCAGTTTTCTAGAAAATAACCGTGAATCGCCATAATTATAACGCTGTTTAATTTCAAAACGAACAGTACCATTATCGTGAGAAATTTCTTTGGAAACTATCTAAAATAATAATAAATAATGGGTTATGCATTCTCTACAAGCATTATTTTAACATAAATTATTACTTTTTTTCCATTAGAAATCATACTAAAAATTTAAACTATGAAATTAATAATCGCTGTAATACAATAAACGGCATTATTAAACCTACAATACTATATATAACAATAGTTAATTTTAAAAATTTCTACAAAATAAAAATAATTTGCTGTATAAACTTGTTTTAACTTTTATAATAATTTTCCTACTTCAAAAAATTTTTGAAAAATTTTTTTTTATTAAATCAATAAAATGTACATTCTTTGTACATTTTTTTTGTACAACTCTGTACTATATTTTTGTGGCTATACATTCTTTGTACAAAGTTTAATTTGAATTTTATTTAAAAACAAATTTAGTACAATTTTAAAGTTCTATAAGTATAAAAACAAGTTTTCAGAATAAATAATTTCAATTCTTTTTCTTCATTATACACTAATTTTTCAATTAATTACACTAATATAAGCAAGTACAATACAATAATGATGATTTTTTTCAAATTATAACAAACAATCCTTTTCATGATAATCTCTGAAAAACTAATGAATAATTATGATTAACTGATTCTGAATAATAAACTTACTGTTAAACTGCACAAATACAATAATATTCAGTGATAGTAAAATATTTTTTTATTTGAAATGTTTATTTTTGGAAATTTTTAGGCTGTACATATTTGGCATATGGCTAATTTGGTAGTGTGAAGTTTATTGACAACTGCATGGTTACTATTCACTTTTGGATTCTGTAATGGATGTGGACTAATGACGATTAAAATAAAAATTTGACCCGTACCATTCAAATAATTTTGTGCTTTTTTTTTTATTATATATCCCCTAATCTTCCTTTGGCTATTAAAATTTAACACTAAGAATTCTTTAAACTGTCTTTTTGGATTTTTCAAGCAAGAAAAAAATTATATGCTTCAATTTCAATTATATAAAATTAAATTACTTACATTAGCAAACCAGTATACATATATACATATTTTATTACATATAGAATATATCTTTCCCAATAATTAATATACAATTGAGCTCTCTCTTATTATGTATAGTAACAGATCAGAATAAGTACAGTTGTTCAAATGTCGTATTTTTGTTATTGTCAAGTAATAAAAATGGAAAGAAATTTAGTGGTTAAGCATCATGCAGTTAAAAACCACTATTGCCTTTTCATATATATATATATATATTATATATTTATTTATTTATTTGTGTGTTCCACCTTTTTTATCAATGAAATTGAATATTTTACTCTATAAAATACATTTTATTTCAAGAAGAATGTCCAAAAATAATTCCAAAAGGAATGAAATACATATACTGTATTTTCACGGAATGACTGGCAAGTTGCATATAACTGAGTTAGACCAACATGCTGGAAACCCCAGAGTTACTAGCATGCCTGTTAAACTGCAACTAAAAAATAAAATTAATCA